TGATAAATTCTCTGGCAGTATTTCAGTTATTGTTTTCTGACTGATTTTCAAGTTAACACAGTTTCAGCTGCGAATTTTGAGGTGACCTTGCGCGCGGTATAAGCATGCGCGATGGCTGAATTTGAAATCTTTTGCTTGTATATTCAAACGTGCAAGGTTTCAGCTTTATATCTTGCCTGGCTCACGAAATCGTTTTTCGCCGAAGAAATTTGCATATTTTTTGATAGTCCGTACGCGAAATTTAGGCACTTATGAGCGAAGATTTTAAGCCGAACAGTAATAGCACGGGGTGGGAATATGACCCCCAAATTTCAGCCTCCCAGCTTTACTGGTTGCTGAGTTGAAAGTGGGTGACAAAGTTCACTTTCGACGGGCGACCTTTCGACAATATGCGTTTTTGCTTGTTGCAGCAGCGCTATCACACTGCTTAGCAAAAACGCATAAAAAATGAAATTTCTTGTTCGAAAAATATAAGAGTGTAACTGAAAAAGTGTTTCGGTTCTTGAGGGTGTATACACTTCTATCTATCTTTAAATCAAAAATTTTACAACACAAAGCAGTTGACAGGGCTATACATTTACTGAACTGCCGGTGTTTTATTGTCACAGTCTGCAATGCACATCCTTGTGTTTACGTTTTAGCTGTCTTTTCGTTGTGCCGAATCAGAGTCATTGTGTCGCTGAAATTTCTCTAAAAGCTTACAGTTTCCTTATTTAGTCACTTATTTACTTGCTTACTTGCTTCTTTACCTGCTATCTGCTTACTTTGCTCACATACTCACATAATTAATTGCCTTCTTAGTTTGTTCGGCAAACAAAATTATCGTCGCCTTCCTTATGTATTTTGCAACCTCTCTATTCTTTATTTCGGATTTCTCCTGTCCACATAATTGCAAATACCCGTTCGAGTGGATCCTTCCGCCCCAATTCCCCGTTCGAGACTTCGCCGTATTTTTTTAACATTGCACTGGCGGCTTCGTTGCGTTTTTTTAAAGAACAGTGTGTTTGGGCTGTAAATCGAAAATCCATCAGCAATAACCGTATCATTTTAGATTGCTGAATACATTCAATCACAGATCCATCAGCAATAAGTATATGAATTTTATACCACTTTGGACTTTTGTTGTTTATGAGAAGTGATCAACGGTTTTATTAAGCATACACATAAAATCTATACACACTTCATTTCTTATAATCAAAAAAAGCACAAAACTGTGGCATCTCCTTTACCTCAAAGTTCAATCATGTGATATTTAATCTTCGTGGACAACGTGGTTCCCTACATTCTGCGTCTGTACAACGGCTTTTAGAATGACAGCAATGACAAATCCTGTGGCGCTTAGCAAGTAATGCCTTAGTATGCTGTCCATAAGCGATCAACAAATCGTCCGTTTTTCGGCATATTTCGGCACGAGTGTAGGCGAATCTTTTGTCGCTGTGCAGCACAGTGCCATTCACAACAATCGTATCACCCAGCTCTGCGCAGTTCGGGTACCTAAAATCTTACAGAGCATACAGTACCTAAGGAACAATAAAGTTATTAGTGCAAATATGTACTAGAAATATTAAAAAGCAATCTGATGAACAGAAATGTTTCGATCCATTAAATCGTACACACATCCCTATTCGGTGCCTCATCAATATTACGAATATGGCTTCTTGATATCTGCATAAGATGCAATGTGAATATAAATATGTATAAGAGATAATGAGAATATAAATGTACGTGAGAGGGTAATATGCCAAAACTTAATTTTTTAATTGAAAAGTTTGGTCTGTTCATCAGTACCAAAACCATGTTTTAGCATTTTTAAGAGTTTGGCTTCACTAATTCTCAACTCAGAATTGAGGCAAGAAAACTGCCAATGGTTTCCATTAATAAAAAGTTGGAAAAGAGGATTTTGATCACTATCAGAGCATTTTAGGGTTTTTCGTTGAAATGCGATTACTTTTTCGATTACGTTTAATTTTACAAGAAAACTAACGACATTGTCAAATCCACGGTGACGCCCGGCATACCGACCTTACTAGCGGCCAATGCAGCTGTGGTTACAATATCGACCAATGTAGCCAGACAACCCTCATGCAGATGACCCAGTGGATTCAGATGCTCCTTGGTTACATCCATTTCAATTTTGACATTTCCTTCTTCAGCTGACAGTACTCGACACTAAAACAGGATTCAGCAGTCTTCAGCCAAATTCGTCTTTTGTAGTCGGAGATTTTTATGGATATGGGAAAAAACCTTATTTCCAGACAATTTTGTGGACGATAAAATTCAGAAGACAGTGTGAAAATGGGAATTTTAAATAACTTTGAGAGATATCATACTGTATAAAACAGTCAGATGGATTCTAGTGCTTTTCAACTACGAAACGGAGTGCAGCTGGATGTCCATTTTTTTACAGGCAATCCGAAAAATCTAATTTGACATCTTACACGCCTGTATGAATGTCCTAGCTCATCAAATACGTGTGCAGTATCCGTCTTTCATATGTTTTTCAGCATATTTTCTCTGCGCCAACACGCCTGAGTCGATCGCATGACAAATTCTTTGGACGAAACTTAGCCGACAACTGAGACGGTACCAGGGTGAGATGTTGCTTGACGTCGACATGCTGTTTTCGTGGAAGAAGATCTAAGCTTGGCGACAAAGCAAACAAAAAAAGTCGGAACTGTTTCATGAGAGAAAATGTAGTCAAAGCTTCCGGAGTGGCAACAGAGCAAAAAGGATTCGTTGGCAATTTGCATCAGTGGTGAGAAGAAACACGATGATGAAACAACAGCTTGCCGAGCGATAAAAGCAGAGAGTGCGAATTGCTGGCAAACTGGCTCAGTTGGCAAATAGCAATTGGAACTCAATATAACATTAATACT